GGTGGGATGGCAGGGTTAGGTTAAAGGTTGGACTCGATGATCTTAAAGGTCTTTTCCAACCAAAGCGATTCTATGATTCTATGATTTCTTTCACTGTAAATTGTAAAAACTGACCTGCTTAGTATAGGGCTAATGAAGCTGTAGTATTATTGTTTAATTTAGTTTGACATTTTCCCAATGATTTCTGGATTACTGTAGTTTTACAGTCGTCTTTTGTTCTGCAAATGTAGTTGGATTTGGTTGTGTTTAAAGATTAAGGGCGTTTTGTTTTGGAGGGCTTCCAGGGAACATAGCTTCCTCCATAGCTTCCTCTGCTTTCATCTTGTTGAACTCCCAGAGGCAGCTTGCTTTTTAAGCTAATTTGAACTCGTGAAGTAAAGCAGTAGCGTTATATGGAGATAGCAATACACATAAAGCTGTAGATTTAAGTATTCTGTTTATTCGTAGTGGTAGCTGCTTTATCTGGTGAAGTGTTGTGCAGTATCATCGGATGACATCAATTAATATACTGTGAGACTGTTAATACAAGTGAATTTTTAATATGCTGCTTTTTTTTTTTTTCTTTTTATGAACCCTATATTGTTCCTGTTCCCAAGTAGGAAGAAAGAAGACAAGTGCTGGAAAGAAATAAACGTTTAAGTCAAGTTGCTGTTAGTAATGGTGCCTCCCACTTTCCCTCCAGGTTGTTTGCATCCGTTCTACATGGAATGCTCTGTCACCAAAGCTAAGCTGTGATAAAAGACCCCTCATTTTAAAAGCGTTGAATGAATTGTTTGCCCTGGTTCCCTCGTTAACAGTGAATACAAACGAATATGAGGTGAGTACTCATGGACTAAGGTGAGCCTGTTCTTTTAGTTTATCTTTGTATATGGGTTTTAAATGTGCCTGCTTGTTCTCAGTATCTCTAAATTGCCACCACTGCTTAATTCAGGTTAATCATAATGCACATTTACATACAGTTTCTCAATTTTAGCTTACACTAGTGAATCCTGGGAGATAGGTGAGAAATTCCAGTGCAAGGTTGATCAGAGGTTTTTCTCTCCCAGAATGTGAGGACATGTGAATGCGTCTACAGTTCAAACCTGTGCCCCTTCTACTTTTCTAGCTCAGTGCATGTTGATGTGGCAGCAGTTTGTTTCAGATAACTGCCTCTATTTCAACTGCTTATTTGGTTAAAGAAAATCTAAATGCCCGTTTTGTTTGCTTTTATAGAAATTCAAAGCTCAAGTTATCAGCTTCCTTTGGAACAACACACAAAACAAGGTAGGTGATGTAACTGAAAATGTTGACTCCTAGTGTTAGCAACTGGATATTAAGTTTTATACCCTTCTGTCAAGACAAGGTTATCAGTGTTAGCAGTCTAATTTCCTAGTAGGGTTTTCTTCTTGTCATTGACCATTTAACACTGTTTTTGAAGCAGTATAATGCGCATGAAAGGTGGTAACTGGTGGTCCTAACATCTGCCATTCTGAAGGACAGTAGTAACACAAACTAGTTTGATTCCTCTGGTAGGCTTCAGCCTTGACATGATAAGGCATTCTTAGCAAAGCTGCAGCTGTGACAACTAACTTGATTCTCTGGTGGGGCATTGTAATGTACTGGGAATGTTGGACCATCATCACCATGGGTATGGTGGAATCAAAGTATTTTATGTCAAATATAGCTTGGATATTTCTACATAAACTACCCTCAGAGCAGTAATGGAGTGTAGCAATCAGAATGTTTGCTATCAGACCTAGATAATTGGTCTTGCTAGTTTGCATTGTATATATAAAGTAAGCAATTGAGAGTGCGCCTCAGGAAAGCATTGTTATTCTACAGTCTTTTTCACCATTCAGTGGTTAGTGGATAAGCTTTTTGTATTTGGAGTTTCCGGTAGGTGTCAATACTGTATGCTGTACTTGTGATTTTTCTTCTTCTTCCTATTAATTTTCTAGGATGCTGTTGTAGCTATTTCTGCCTATAAATCACTCTCATCATTTGGCGCTGAAGAACATACAATTCTTCATCTTCCTGAACAGGTAGCAATGTTGTATGTTTAGCCATAAACGACATCTGATACATCCACCTTACATGGGTTGTATCATCTTGGAAAGGAAACAAGGCCTTGTGCCATCTCTGCCAGACAACTATCAGAGCCCTGTAGAAGGAATATGAGCTCCTGCTGGTGAAATGGGATGATATTATGTATGATTGGCATAACTAAGACTTATGAGAGGGGAAAGGTGTAAATGGAGTTTGAGTGAGGTCTAAACAGTAAGAAGGTATTTTTTCTTCTTTCATTAGTTAAATCAGCAGGTTATTCTTGGGGCACTTGACTTGGATTTTATGCTAGTTCAGATTTTATATTAGTTCAGTCTATAAGTATCAAGATTAATTTTATTATTACAGGTATGGATTTACCTACCCATGTGATTTTTATTAACCAGTTTTGCCTTTTGTTTTGGCAGAAGAAAAGCTTTTATTATTTCAGCTTCAAATTAATGAAATGTAGTGAAATTAATGAAATGGGGAACTTTTCATAGCTGCTATTTTTGACACTTGGTTGACACTTGGAATCATGAAAGGTAATGAGGATTTGGAATTTTTGTGCTGACTTCCTTTTTTCTAATCCTTCAGGCACGACAAGAAGTTGACTCACTGGAGGAGGCAGACATGAATGAAGATGAAGAAGAAGAGAAGGAGGCAGATCTTTTTGTTCCAGGTTCTTCATATATCAAGCTGTTGTCTCTAACACCAGCTTCTGTTCTAGGAGGTATAATATATTCAGTATTTGAGGTTACTTTGCAGATTTATAATCACAGTGACTGTACAAACATGTGGCTTTCATGTAATGGAGTGCTATATTAGAGTGCAGCCCTTTTTTTTTTTTTTTTTCCTGGGAAAATTATCTTACTAAATTACAGGAAAAAATGTGAAGTAAAAATTTGGAGGAAAACAAAACCCCTAACCCATTTTTAGGAAGACAGTGGGTCACAGGTTCTGATGGTGGAAAAAGTGCTTATAACATAACTTAAAAAACCTTATCTGTCCTATAGGAAAAGCCAGTTGCTTATTATTTACTTCAAGTGCCCATTGTTTCATCACAGTGCAACTTCAATAGGGAGGACTGAGCAGATGTTTTTAAAGGCAGCTCTGTATTTTAGCCCAGCACAGACTGAACAAAAAAAAACCATACCCAAAACTATAGTGTTTTATAAACAGAGAATTAATAGTATTCAAACCATGTTGTATACAAAAATGTACTTAATCAATAAAGATATTAGTGCTATGCTTAATGCTTAGTTTGTGGTGCATATTGATACTGAAGTATGCTTCAACAGATGGTCTCTAGTTGATGCACTTGTTGTGACACCTATGCAGCTGAATTATCTTTAGTATTGGGGTTTTTCTCATGTTTACTTGTTTATTCTCATTAATGCTGTCTTTTACTTCCAGTTACAAGATCGTGACGTTAGTGCCTGGACACAGGCGTTGTTATTTCACTGTTTTTAGAATGCCTGGGCTGTTGATGTGCAACTGCAACCTGTAAACATTGCCACGAGATGATAGTAGTATTTCCCCTAGTGGGGGCTCCAAGAAAGATCCATTCATTAAATACTCCACGCTTCAGAGTCTGGAGTATGTGCAGCCTCACCTAGAGAGTCTATATGCACTAACTAGTAAGTTCTGGAAGCTTTGTGGGGAAGACCAACATAACCTGCTTCAACAAAAGAGTGACGCATCTGGGCAGATAACTCAAGCTGTGTAATGGATGCTGAGATAGGCAATGTACCAGGAAGATGGGAAACCAAAACAGACTTCAGAGAGAGCAGACTGGAATAAAAGCATGTATGCAAATAGCTTTTCCAACACATTCGCTGAATAGATTCTCCCTCAGAAGAGTCATCATCTAACAGTTGGTTAACACAGAATACAGAACAGCTGAGCAAAAGCTTTAGCGACTGGCAGGAGTGGTTGTTGCGAGTTAATTGCTCCGTTTAAAGGGTATGAAACTGGATTCATTAGGCAATGTCAAAGATAGGCCAAGAGCCACAAAATCTCTTTTCTATTGGAGCTGAGTCTGTGCCATCTTATCTGCTGGAATCCTGCTGTTATACCTTTTTGAGATTAATTCACTACTTCATTTCTGCTTAGAAGGAGAAGGACCAAGATGCTTTTAAGAAGACGAAGCTGTTTCTCAGAGTTTCCCCCAAAGTCCTTGTTAGTGCACACCAAATCAACTGGAACTTCTAAAGTGCTGCTTATGACATCTCCCTTCTTACTTTTCCTTGCTGATTCCTTAAGCTCTGAATTGGTGCTTCTTTTTCTTCCTTAACCCTTCTTTAATCCTTGCAGGAGGAGGAAAATCTTTAGGTTTTTTCAGCCTCTGCATGCTTCTTCCTGAAGAATTGAACACAGTGCTATCACAGCTGCAGTTACAAGGTTCCAACCAGAACGTGGCCTTGGTGCTGGCATTACTATTGTATTGGGGGCTTTTTTTCCAAGTGCCTTCTCCAACTCTGTGGGAGGAAAATATCTAAGCTTGCAAAGAAATCTGTAGGGCCTGTTTCTGCAACAGCTGAGGATAAAATAGGAAACAAAGTAAAAGTAGACTTTCTATGGCAGTTGATTGGAACATGCTACAATTCCAATTTACCATAGCTGTCTGCTTATGTGAAGCATTGAAAAGTGAAAATCTGGGTAGTATTTTCTCTCCAGCTCCTTTAAAATAATTTTGTCATTTCAGTTTCCATATTGTGTCAAAGCATTCAAGTCCACAGGGTATCAGAAATGCTATGACAGCCTATGTATTTTAATAGCTTTTCATTCTGGATATCTGAGACTTGTCTGAAACCTGGTAGTCAGAGAATTAAAAATAATCCATATAACAAACTATAAACTTGAGACAACAGCTATTTATTTTTTATTATTATTGCTGAGCTATATATCTCCACAGGAAGGATGCTAAGAATTTTGTTCCTGTGATGTTAGTTACCTCTTTTTTTTCCTTCAGACTTATTCCAAGCATTAAAAGAAGATATTCTAGCATTTGCTGCACATCTAGGTGTTTCATTAAATTTCTCCAGATTTTCTAGTTTGAGTTATATCTGGCAGCCGGGATTCTTGGGTTGTATCTCTTGCCTGAAGAATTGCTTTTGAATGGCTTCTAAATGTTAAGTCCTTTGGTGTAACTAGCAAATGCAGTAATATGACAGCAGCGATATTACCTGTGCTAGGGTGTCTCTGTCAATGTGAATGTTTACAAGCAGACAAAGAGCTGTCTTCTGTCAGAGAATTTCTTTCCTGTTGCTTCATCCACTCCAAACAAATGAGCTCTTATAGAAGTCTTATAAAAGCAAGTAGGTAGATAGTATTTTCATGTCGATAAACCTAGTTTTGTTGGAAGAGTATGCAGTGTTGAGGATTGGGGACAAAGATTTATCATTTCTGTCTGAATCACTGTAGAATATTGGCATTACAGGTGGAGAAAAAAAAATCCCCAGATACAGGTTCCCTTCCTGCCATGCTACAAAAACGTATCAAATTTAGAGTACTACTCCACTCTGAAGTTGAAGTGGGAACAAGCATTGCTGAAAATCACAGGAACTTGCTGAAAGTAGAAAATGTGAGGAAGTTCTAGTATAAAACTCTTTTATTCCAGGTATTTCTTGGACCTATAAAGGATGAGTGAGTGCCCTTTTGTCTCCTTTGTTGTCTAGTTCCTAGTCAAATTAGGACCGCATGTGATTTGGGAACTTGTAAGCCAAAGTTTCAGGCCTAGTGTGAAGCAGTTTTTATAAATCCTGTTAAAACTATGTTGTATAACGAAAGCACCAGCAGACTTTTAAACGTACCAGGTTTGCAAGGTGCTGGTACAATGTTGGCTCCCAGTTGTGATGTAACAAGCACCATGCAGTCATATATATGTACATACAGAAACACTACCCTTTTTTTCTGCAGTTAGCTCCTTCAGATTGACTTCACAAGTGAACAATAACTTTATATTAATTCTGTGTAATTTTAAACCTGGTTAGGCTATAAAATGCATAGCCTGAGAGTACAGAACTTAATGCACAATTTGTACTGCCATGGTAACAAATCGAGGTAATACTTGTCTCTCTCTCTGTCCCCCTCCCGCTTCCATATACACACTATTTCTCCATCTACCCTCTTTCCATTGTGCTTCTTTTAAATGTCTTTAATAACAACCTGGTTTTAGAGACAATATTTTTCAGTCTGTTGCTAAACATCAGTTTTATTTCTGGTTGTCCTGTTAGCATGTGCCAGTATTATTGGTGCAGCAGTCAAAGAATGCAGTCAACAGCTCATGGGAATAGCTAAGGCTATTTTTCTTCCCCAGCCTTAGTATCTGAGATGACTTACTCAGCCTCTTGAAGTTGCAGTGGCAGCAAGTATGTTGTCAGAGATACTTGCTAAGAGTTCTCAATTCTTTGGCATTGAGCTTTCATCTGAACATGTCGTTACAAGTTTATCTAAGCGTATCTCCCCCGAAGCACAGGTGTCATTTTGGCTTTTCCAGGGCTTGTTTGGGGTCTCAGTCATCAGGCTCTGACATTCCCTTTCCTCTCTCTTCATTTTCTTGCACTTCATCCAGCATTTGAAGAGTTTGCAGCATCACTTGTGAAACAGGAGATGACCAACATGCCCCGTGGTGTGTATCATTCTGCCTTGAGAGGAGGGAGCACACGCTCAGACCAGGGGAAGACCGTGGCAGGTGTTCCAAACTTCTTGCTGAAAATGTATGAGAGGAACAAACAACCAGGCATGACACCGGGCCTTGCAGGTAAGCTGCCGCTGTTCTTGAAGTCAGACAAGTATACATGCTTTGACCCAAAGATTTCGATGAGAGTGAAATGAGAGTTTAAGAAACGACGATGTCTTATACCACCCGCACACGCTTTTTTTTCCTTTTACTGACCTTTCTTTTCCCCTTCCCTCCCTCTTTAAGCTGGCATGCTGTTGTGTTACGACCTTCCTATCCATGTGGGCAAAGACGGCAAGCCCATTCATCGCTTTCTGGCCAGCAGGGGGCGCAATTTCCAGCAGACGTTGGTGGCCCTCATTCACGAGGTGAGTTGCTGGCTGCCCTTCCTTTCCCTGTGCTTCTTGCCCTGCCTTACCACCTCACTTGTTTATGAGAATTAGAAATTGGTATCAGCTAGCAAGGGCAGGTATGAATGTATCACAATTAACTAGAGTTGCTGTGATGTTCAACTAACTTGAGTTGAACATACAAATACTTTTTTTTAAGTGGTCACTGCTGAAGTACCTCTTCTGAAGATCAGTAGAACAAATGGAAGATGACTTTTGCCTTAATCTGCCTTGCAGAGTACTGTACCTGCCTTATACCCATCATGTGTAACCAGTTGTAGGTGAATAGCAGCTCTGAACCATGATGGGACTCTGTGGGGAAATCTACACCTTGCGAAGACTTGCTGTTTTCTTCTGTCTTTTGAAGTGTTTCAGCTTCCTGACTATTAGGCTTATGCCACTGAAACCATGCCATTACCTTTGGTGTGATTTTGAAAAAAGGGCATGAAATAAGCCCCCACTTAATCATTACAGAAAATATAATGTTACAACTTACTTAGTTTGTTATAAGTGCTTATAAAGAAATCTTTCAGAGAGTTTAGAATTACAGTACTTTTATGGTTGATATGAAAGTTGATCTTGGAAAATTTTGGAGAGCAGTAAAACAAAATAAGGAGTTAAACTGGATCTAGGGAAATAAGTGTTCGTTTCACATTTTTATGCCAATGAGAGCAGTTAGAAACACAAGTGGAAGTGTATTTATCTCTTTAAAAGTTCATAAAATAATTCTCTAACACGATCATGTTGTATTGCTGCAGAGGTTAATTACGTGCATCTGAGGGTGAAGTTTCTGCTCAAAGGACATGAATAAGAATATATGAATTATATGAGTCCGATATGAGCAAGAGAGCACAGATGGCAATTAAAAAAAAAAAAACTATATAAAATTTATATTGAGACTTAGGCAGTATGTCCAGAAATGAATACAATGTATGAATAACTGGACATTTTAAAGATTTTCCCACACACACACCCCACAGTGATACCAATTCCTGTTCTACTTTTCAACAGTAGGAAAGATTAAATTACTCCTCCTTTCTCTGTGCCATGTACAGGCAGCTTGGTGCTATGAAAGGTAATTTGTTTGTATGCTGTTTTGTACAGATGAGCCTTTTGTTCAGGGCACAGAATGGATCCTTGTGTTGACAGTAAACCAGAACTGTTTAATAAAAGGAAGTGTTTTATATAACACTCATACTATACTTGTTGCGGAAGTTGGAAGAAGTAGAATGAATGAGAGATGGGTTGCGGGTGGGAGCATGTCTGGGTCCTGATTTTGATTTGTGACTCACACCCAACAGACCTGGAGATGACCTGCTGCAAAATTCCTTTATGATGCTAATAAAATCACTGACACAAAACACTTTCTGTTATGAAGTAAGTACAGCACAGCATGTGAGTGGAAAGGTTGCGTGCACATGGTTTGGAGAGTTTTCTGTTTTCAAACTGAAATTGGCTGCTTCTCCCTAGTGCAGTCTTCCAGCTCTGTACTATCACTCAAATCCTTCTGTGTGCCAGCATACACACAAAATTTTTACCTATCACACAACATCTTATCAATTTGGTCATTCTGAACTGAACCAAAAAGCCACAAAAAGTAATAATTGTGTCTTGTGGCCACAGAGGCACCACATGGATCCTAGTAGAAGTTAGGCCAGATGGTACAAGGATGAAAGGCAGTCTGCAGCAGTTGGACTGGGGTATAGAAATCCCTCCCTGGTGCTGTGTTAATGAAGATAGTGTCAACAGCGTTATGAAGTACTTCAGATGGCAAGTTTTTCTCTCAAACTAGTAAAAATACAAAACAAAACCCACCCTTAAATACAGATCTCAAGGTATCTGATCATGTATTAATAGATATTTTCCATCTAGACAGTTTTACTGCTGAAGAATGAAAGCAGAAACTGGAGATAATACCCCTCATCATCACAGGAGTGTGCAAGTAAATTAATGAATGTTTTCTAACTGCTTGGATACTCCAGTGAAGAGCACCAGGGGAAGCCCACAAGGATATTGCAAAATATGTCAGGGGAGCAGATTTAGTGTAATGAGTTATGAACAAACGAGGGCTTGTATAGCATCCAGAAAGAAAAGCTCTGCCTTCTATGTAGTCGCTTCATTCAGTGGGACATGGGTTCAGTGCCAGAGGTTTTGGAGAAAAAGATATTTAATTATATTATAATAAAAGACATGAATTAAAGTGTTATGTAAGCTGAATTAGTGGGATGAAGATCAGTTCTGAACTATGATGTTGTAAACACTCACCTCTTCGCCTGCTAAAGCACCAAATAGAATATCTGATAAAAAAAATAAATTATTTATTTGTGTCTGCTAGCAGTGATTATAACACCCAGCAGCACATCAAAAATTGACTTTTCTTATGCTAACAAGCTACCTTTATAGAAATACCATCTTAAAATGGTTTGCTTGACAAAGCGTCAGGATTTTATTGAATGCAGTGAACTGGATGGAGTTAGTGAATACATACCAATGACTGGAGACAAAAATATTTTATTAAGTATCTCAGAATTTTAGAAAGTCAGTTGATTCTAGGTGGGGTAAAACTAAAAACGAAGCCAAGCATGTTTGAAATATAAACCTAAACACAAAACATCTTCAGACAATCCTAACTGCACCCTTTTACTGAAGATTCACAATAACAATAAAATTTTGATCAAAGTACACCAATATTTCTGTTCTCAGCTTATGCTACTTTAAGAGACAAGGTTTTTTCTTTCCTTCTTTACCCTTGTATGTAGAGACAGTTGGAGTTTGGGTTGTGAGGGAAAAAGTATTTGGGCCTTTGGCTGGAAGAAAAGCAAGTCCCTGGACTTACTCGACTGAATTTCATGCCTTAGTGTTTGTTTAGGCCTTAGTGTTTGTTTAGGCCTTAGTGTTTGTTTAGGCCTTAGTGTTCTTCTGGGGAGCAGAGTTGAACAGTAAAAACAGGGAGCTTAAGTTGTAAAGCTGTCAAATAGCAGTATTGGTCTAAGAAAATTGAGAGAATTAGGACCTAGGCTCACCTTTTCCCTGCAGTGGCTTTAGGAATTAACGTGGGTTTGCGAAGTCATTGCTTCAGAGTTTAACACAGCACATTAAGCAGGTTTTTTAGGGGGTTTAAATTACCAGAATTACGCTTGTTTGCCACTGCTTTGACTCCTTTTTATTTTGAGGTTTCTTTGTAACTCTTACAGTGACTTTTAAAATAAAGTTAAGTGTTTCCTTAAAAAGAAGGCTTAAAGTTGCCTTTGAAGCATTGCAGTCAGCATAAAGCTCTGAGAAAACTGTGAGGTGGATGTAAACACCAAGAAATTACAATTATTTGGGAGAGGGCAAGCATCCTTTTATTTTATCTCTAATAATCCCCAACAGTTGGCATTTCTTTAGTTAAGGATTAGCAGTCATCAATATAATTACCATACTGGCCTAATAATGTTCTTATCTCTTCAGTCATTTGATCTATGCTCACATCTGTAGAATATGAACTTAAAGGTTGCATATCTGTCTGTCTCTGTGTATGGTTAGTTGCCATTGTTACACCTAGTTTATTGAAAACTGCGGTATGAGGAGGGGCTTGCAGCAACCAGTTGCATTTTTGTGAGATTCTTTTTGTGTAAAATTGTGATGCCTGAGATTCTGCCACCAAAAAAAAAGTTTTACATGAGGTTTGTATG